AAATCCCCGTTTCGCAAATTTCGAAATTTACGAAACTTATCGACAAATCACGTGTGATATATCAAATGAAAGCTCTCGACGAGCTGAGTCTGGATAAATTTATTTTAAATTTTTTGGACCACTTTGGACCAAGTTACAGTAGCCCAAAGTTTCACAATGACCCCATGTAAAATTGGGAAGGGTGGCTCCAATTGTCAAAAGTGAATTGAAACCCGTTTTCGATATCCTATCTTAAAGAGCGTCCCCTGGCGGTTCGAAAAAGGTATAATATGTCGGGGGTCCGGTTGAGTCTCAAAAAGTTATAGGCAATGTTCGCAAATGTCGCGAAACTTTTTTTGACTCTAACTTTGTCGAAAATTTTTTTAGAATTTTTCTGACGCCGGATTCGTACTCAGCGGGTGTCAGAGTACCATATAGGCCGTTTTATAAGTCAAAATTCCAAAATTTTGTCCCACCCCCTATTTCCGAAGGGGTACCCCTTTTGGGGGATTTTTGGGATTTTTAAAATCGCCATAACTTTTTATGGGATTATCGGATTGGGTTGTGGTTTGCTTTATAAAATATAGTCAAAAATTAGAAATTTTTTGAGCGCAAAAAATTTCGAAAAAATCCGAAAATGGAGGTGTAGGGGTAGAATTTCGAAAAACCCAAAATTTTTCGGTTTTTCGAAATTTTTTCGGGATTTTTGCCTACTGATGGTTCTAATGTATTTTTCTTGAATTAAGCAGATTTATCTACATATTTTGGGATTTTAAAATTTTCAAAAAAGGTATACCTTGGCCGAGATATGATTTTTTGAAAATTTTAGCGATTTTTTCTGGCTGAAATTTCAGGCCCAAAAAATATTTTTTCAAAATCCAATATAGATATGGCAAATGAGGTATCATTCGAAAGCTCTCATCGAGCTGGATATAAAAATATTTTTTTCGAATTTTTTCGGTACTTATTGACGAATGTACGGAGGTTCTAAAATTTGGGGGATGGAGTACAGTATCCGGAGAATTATGGTAGGAAGAGAGAAAAAATGATTGACAGTTGAAATGATGGCAGAGAGGCGAAATTTTTCTGCGTCTCTGACATTCGGGGCAACCCGTAGAAGAAATTAAAGGGAAATTTTGTATATGGGGGAAAATTTTGTGGGAGGGTAAGCTGGATCCTGTTGTGGATCCGAAGCAGAGATGCTTCGTGAAGCAGTTATGCTTCGAAATTTTGTTTTGGATTGGACTCATCCTTCTAATTGAAAGGATGAGTCCAATCATCCTTCTAATTGAAAGGATGAGTACAATCATCCTTCTAATTGAAAGGATGAGTCCAATCATCCTTCTAATTGAAAGGATGAGTCCAATCGAGGGGCCGAAGGCCCGGAGTGACTCTAAGTGGAAGGATGAGTCCAATCGAGGGATGAAGGATGAGTCTAAGATGAAGGATGAGTCCAATCGAGGGGAAGACGAGGGCCGAAGGCCCGAAGTGACTCTAAGAAGGCCCGAGCTTTCATTACATCTAAAAGGCAAAGCAATTGGGAAGGAAAAGTAAATCGAAGGGAAGACGAGGGCAGAAGGCCCGAAGTGACTGAATTGAAAGGATGAGTCCAATCGAAGGGAAGACGAGGGCCGAAGGCCCGAAGTGACTCTAAGTGGAAGGAAGAGTCCAATCGAAGGGAAGACGAGTTCCGAAGGCCCGAAATAACTCTAAGTGGAAGGAAGAGTCCAATCAAGGGAAAAAGAGGGCCGAAGGCCCGAAGTGACTCAAATTGAAGGCCGAAGGCCGAGGAGTAGGCGAGGGCCGAAGGCCCGAGCTTTCATTACATCTAAAAGGCAGAGCAATAGTCAAAAGCAGAGCATAGATCCTCCGAGGCCGAAGGCCGAGGAGTAGGCGAGGGCCGAAGGCCCGAGCTTTCATTACATCTTAAAGGCAGAGCAATAGTCAAAAGCAGAGCATAGATCCTCCGAGGCCGAAGGCCGAGGAGTAGGCGAGGGCCGAAGGCCCGAGCTTTCATTAAATCTAAAAGGCAGAGCAATAGTCAAAGGCAGAGCATAGATCCTCCGAGGCCGAAGGCCGAGGAGTAGGCGAGGGCCGAAGGCCCGAGCTTTCATTACATCTAAAAGGCAGAGCAATAGTCAAAGGCAGAGCATAGATCCTCCGAGGCCGAAGGCCGAGGAGTAGGCAAGGGCCGAAGGCCGAGCTTTCTTACATCTAAAAAGCAGAGCAAAAGTCAAAGGCAGAGCATAGATCCTCCGAGGCCGAAGCCCGAGGAGTAGGCGAGGGCCGAAGGCCCGAGCTTTCATTACATCTTAAAGGCAGAGCAATAGTCAAAAGCCGAGGAGTAGGCGAGGGCCGAAGGCCCGAGCTTTCATTACATCTAAAAGGCAGAGCAATAGTCAAAGGCAGAGCATAGATCCTCCGAGGCCGAAGGCCGAGGAGTAGGCGAGGGCCGAAGGCCCGAGCTTTCATAATATCTAAAAGGCAGAGCAATAGTCAAAGGCAGAGCATAGAGTTCCGAAGGCCCGAAGTAACTCTAAGTGGAAGGAAGAGTCCAATCAAGGGAAAAAGAGGGCCGAAGGCCCGAAGTGACTCAAATTGAAGGCCGAAGGCCGAGGAGTAGGCGAGGGCCGAAGGTCCGAGCTTTCATTACATCTAAAAGGCAGAGCAAAAGTCAAAAGCAGAGCATAGATCCTCCGAGGCCGAAGGCCGAGGAGTAGGCGAGGGCCGAAGGCCCGAGCTTTCATTACATCTTAAAGGCAGAGCAATAGTCAAAAGCAGAGCATAGATCCTCCGAGGCCGAAGGCCGAGGAGTAGGCGAGGGCCGAAGGCCCGAGCTTTCATTACATCTAAAAGGCAGAGCAATAGTCAAAGGCAGAGCATAGATCCTCTGAGGCCGAAGGCCGAGGCTAGGCGAGGGCCGAAGGCCCGAGCTTTCATTACATCTAAAAGGCAGAGCAATAGTCAAAGGCAGAGCATAGATCCTCCGAGGCCGAAGGCCGAGGAGTAGGCAAGGGCCGAAGGCCGAGCTTTCTTACATCTAAAAAGCAGAGCAAAAGTCAAAGGCAGAGCATAGATCCTCCGAGGCCGAAGGCCGAGGAGTAGCGAGGGCCGAAGGCCCGAGCTTTCATTACATCTAAAAGGCAGAGCAATAGTCAAAGGCAGAGCATAGATCCTCCGAGGCCGAAGGCCCGAGCTTTCATAATATCTAAAAGGCAGAGCAATAGTCAAAGGCAGAGCATAGATCCTCCGAGGCCAAAGGCCGAGGAGTAGGCGAGGGCCGAAGGCCCGAGCTTTCATTACATCTAAAAGGCAGAGCAAATGGAAGAAAGAGTCCAATCTTTTTTCCAACTCTAAATGGAAGAAAGAGTCCAATTGAAGGTTAGACGAGTGCCGAAGGCCCGAAGTGACTCTAAGTGGAAGGATGAGTCCCAACGGGGAAAGACGAGGCGAGGGCCGAAGGCCCGAGCTTCAACCCATCCCGGGAGACAGAACAGAGATCGGCGAGGGCCGGAGGCCCGAAGCAATGAAAAGGCAGAGCTAAATAAATATATTCCAGGCATCAAAAAGTTCTAGCCGCGCGCGAAGCGCGCCCCAAAGCCGTTAGGCTTTCCAACGGGCAGAGTTCGAAAAAAACTGCCAGAGTATCCTAATAGGAATTGCATACGTAAGTTACCGCCATCGCATACGTAACCCACAGCTAGTTACTATATACCTATAATTCAGGGAGTGTTTTTTCTAAGAAAAAAAATAACGGCCGGCCGAAGGCCGGCACGGATTTGGGAGTTTGACATTCGGGGGGTAGTTTGGGACGGGGCATCCAGGAAAATTATCGAGAAGTCGAAATAATTGCCCCCTGGTACCTAAATCGCTTAAGTGCCGGGGCTATCTTTTTAACGTGTGGAGATAGCGGAAAATGTCTGCTGGGAGGCACGTGCGCCGGTATATGGGGATATGAATGGAAAAAAACCCGGACCCGAAATACCAACTTGGAGGGTACTTATGCCTTCCCAAATGGTTATGCCCCCAGGCTGAAAAATTCTAACTCAGTTTAGGGATGAGTTAGAAGTCTGAAACTTTTTGTATCCGTGGTACTATTTGATGGGGCATTTGGGAAAAATACCAAAGTTAAGAAATAATTACCCCCTGGTACCTATATTGAATTGGTACCGGGGGTATCTCGGGACTGGGGGGAGAGAATCCGTGCCGGCCTCCGGCCGGCCGAAGGCCGGCACGGATTTGGGAGTGCGACATCTTGGGGGGTACTTTTAATGGGCTATTTGGGAAAATTATCGAGAAGTCGAAATAATTGCCCCCTGGTACCTAAATCGCTTAGCGCCGGGGCTATCTTTTTAATGGCTGGAGATAGCGGAAAACGTCTGCTGGGAGGCACGTGCCCCACTATTAGGGGATGTTAATGGAAAAAAACTCGAAGTCGAAATTCGGACCTGAAGGGTACTTATGCCTTCCCAAATGGTTATGCCCCCGGGGCTTCGAAGTCTAACTCATTTTAGGGATGAGTTAGAAGTCTGAAACTTTTTGCATCCGGGGTTGGATACGATGGGGCATTGGGGAAAAATAGGGAAGGGTTGAAATAATTGCCCCATGGTACCTATATTGAATAGGTACCGGGGGTATCTCGGGAGTGGGACCAGATAGAGGAAAACTTCCAACGGGCTTTCATTACATCTAAAAGGCAGAGCAATTGGGAAGGAAGAGTCCAATCGAAGGGAAGACGAGGGCCGAAGGCCCGAAGTGAATCTAATTGAAAGGATGAGTCCAATCGAGGGGTAGACGAGGGCCGAAGGCCCGAAGTGACTCTAAGTGGAAGGGTGAGTCCAATCGGAGGGAAGACGAGGGCCGAAGGCCCGAAGTGACTCTAAGTGGAAGGAAGAGTCCAATCGAGGGGAAGACGAGGGCCGAAGGCCCGAGCTTCCATTACATCTAAAAGGCAGAGCAATAGTCAAAGGCAGAGCATAGATCTTCCGAGGCCGAAGGCCGAGGAAGATGGAAGGAAGAGTCTAGATGGAAGGAAGAGTCCCAACGGGGGGAAGACGAGGGCCGAAGGCCCGAAGTGACTCTAAGTGGAAGGATGAGTCCCAACGGGGAAAGACGAGGCGAGGGCCGAAGGCCCGAGCTTCAACCCATCCCGGGAGACAGAACAGAGATCGGCGAGGGCCGGAGGCCCGAAGCAATGAAAAGGCAGAGCTAAATAAATATATTCCAGGCATCAAAAAGTTCTAGCCGCGCGCGAAGCGCGCCCCAAAGCCGTTAGGCTTTCCAACGGGCAGAGTTCGAAAAAAACTGCCAGAGTATCCTAATAGGAATTGCATACGTAAGTTACCGCCATCGCATACGTAACCCACAGCTAGTTACTATATACCTATAATTCAGGGAGTGTTTTTTCTAAGAAAAAAAATAACGGCCGGCCGAAGGCCGGCACGGATTTGGGAGTTTGACATTCGGGGGGTAGTTTGGGACGGGGCATCCAGGAAAATTATCGAGAAGTCGAAATAATTGCCCCCTGGTACCTAAATCGCTTAAGTGCCGGGGCTATCTTTTTAACGTGTGGAGATAGCGGAAAATGTCTGCTGGGAGGCACGTGCGCCGGTATATGGGGATATGAATGGAAAAAAACCCGGACCCGAAATACCAACTTGGAGGGTACTTATGCCTTCCCAAATGGTTATGCCCCCAGGCTGAAAAATTCTAACTCAGTTTAGGGATGAGTTAGAAGTCTGAAACTTTTTGTATCCGTGGTACTATTTGATGGGGCATTTGGGAAAAATACCAAAGTTAAGAAATAATTACCCCCTGGTACCTATATTGAATTGGTACCGGGGGTATCTCGGGACTGGGGGGAGAGAATCCGTGCCGGCCTCCGGCCGGCCGAAGGCCGGCACGGATTTGGGAGTGCGACATCTTGGGGGGTACTTTTAATGGGCTATTTGGGAAAATTATCGAGAAGTCGAAATAATTGCCCCCTGGTACCTAAATCGCTTAGCGCCGGGGCTATCTTTTTAATGGCTGGAGATAGCGGAAAACGTCTGCTGGGAGGCACGTGCCCCACTATTAGGGGATGTTAATGGAAAAAAACTCGAAGTCGAAATTCGGACCTGAAGGGTACTTATGCCTTCCCAAATGGTTATGCCCCCGGGGCTTCGAAGTCTAACTCATTTTAGGGATGAGTTAGAAGTCTGAAACTTTTTGCATCCGGGGTTGGATACGATGGGGCATTGGGGAAAAATAGGGAAGGGTTGAAATAATTGCCCCATGGTACCTATATTGAATAGGTACCGGGGGTATCTCGGGAGTGGGACCAGATAGAGGAAAACTTCCAACGGGAGGCACGCACGTTGGGATTAGAGGATATTAATGGGAAAAAACCCGAACCCGAAATCCCAACTTGGAGGGTAGATATGCCTTCCCAAAAATCCCAAAATCCCCGTTTCGCAAATTTCGAGATTTACGAAACTGGTCGACAAATCACGTATGATATGTCAAATGAAAGCTCTCGACGAGCTGAGTCTGATAAAATTTAGTTTATTTTTTTTTGGACCACTTTGGACCAAGTTACAGTAGCCCAAAGTTTCAAAATATTTTTATGTAAAATTGGGAAGGGTGGCTCCAATTCTCAAAAGTGAATTGAAACCCGTTTTCGATATCCTATGTTATAGAGCGTCCCCTGACGGTCCGAAAAAGGTATAATATGTCGGGGGTCCGGTTGAGTCTGAAAAAGTTATGGCCAATGTTCGCAAATGTCGCGAAACTTTTTTTGTCTCTAACTTTGTCGAAAATTTTTTTAGAATTTTTCTGACACCGGATTCGTACTCAGCGCATGTCAGAGTACCATATAGGCCGTTTTATAGGTCAAAATTCGAAAATTTTGTCCATTCGAATTTTTTCAAAGGGGTACCCCTTTTGGGGGATTTTAGGGATTTTTAAATTTGAAATATCTTTTTTTGGGATTGTCAGATTGGGATGGGGTTTCCTTTATTAAATTAAATAAAAAATTAGAAATTTTTTGAGCCCAAAAAATTTTTAAAAAATTCGAAATTGGAGGTGTAGGGGTCGAATTTCGAAAAACCCAAAATTTTTCGGTTTTTCGAAATTTTTTCGGGTTTTTTGTATCTGTTCGGGCCGATTGTATTTTTCCTGGATTAACCAGATTTTTCTACATATTATGGGATTTTAAAATTTTTAAAAAGGTATACTTTGGGCGAGATATGATTTTTTGAAAATTTCAGGGATTTTTTCTGGCCTAAATTTCAGGCCCAAAAACTATTTTTTTTTAAATGGATATAAATATGGCAAATGAGATATCATTCGAAAGCTCTCATCGAGCTGGATATAAAAATATTTTTTTCAATTTTTTTCGGTACATTTTGACGAACGTACAGAGGTTCGAAAATTTGTGGGGGTGAGTACCGTACCCGGAGAATTATGGTAGGGAGAGAGGAAAAATGATTGACAGGTGCAGTTGATGGCAGAGAGCGAAATTTTTCTCCGTCTCTAACCATGAGGGGCAAACCGTAAAAGAACTTAAATGTGAATTTTGTATATTGGGGAAAATTTTGTGGAGGGATAAGCTGGATCCTGTTGTGGATCCAAAGCAGCAACGCTTCTTGAAGCAGTTTCTGCTTCGAATTTTTGTTTTGGATTGGACTCATTCTTCTAATTAAAAGGATGAGTCCAATCATCCTTCTAATTGAAAGGATGAGTCCAATCATCCTTCTAATTGAAAGGATGAGTCCGATCATCCTTCTAATTGAAAGGATGAGTCCAATCGAGGGGCCGAAGGCCCGGAGTGACTCTAAGTGGAAGGAAGAGTCCCAATTGTCGAAGACGAGGGCCGAAGGCCCGAAGTGACTCTAAGTGGAAGAATTAGTCCAATCGAGTAGAAGACGAGGGCCGAAGGCCCGAAGAGCAATAGTCAAAGTCAGAGAATAGATCCTCCGAGGCCAAAGGCCGAGGAGTAGGCGAGGGCCGAAGGCCTGAGCTTTTATTACATCTAAAAGGCAGAGCAATAGTCAAAGTCAGAGAATAGATCCTCCGAGGCCAAAGGCCGAGGAGTAGGCGAGGGCCGAAGGCCCGAGCTTTCATTACATCTAAAAGGCAGAGCAATAGTCAAAGGCAGAGCATAGATCCTCCGAGGCCGAAGGCCGAGGAGTATGCGAGGGCCGAAGGCCCGAGCTTTTATTACATCTAAAAGGCAGAGCAATAGTCAAAGGCAGAGCATAGATCCTCCGAGGCCGAAGGCCGAGGAGTATGCGAGGGCCGAAGGCCCGAGCTTTCATTACATCTAAAAGGCAGAGCAATAGTCAAAGGCATAGCATAGATCCTCCGAGGCCGAAGGCCGAGGAGTAGGCGAGGGCCGAAGGCCCGAGCCTTCATTACATCTAAAAGGCAGAGCAATAGTCAAAGGCAGAGCATAGATCCTCCGAGGCCGAAGGCCGAGGAGTATGCGAGGGCCGAAGGCCCGAGCTTTTATTACATCTAAAAGGCAGAGCAATAGTCAAAGGCAGAGCATAGATCCTCCGAGGCCGAAGGCCGAGGAGTATGCGAGGGCCGAAGGCCCGAGCTTTTATTACATCTAAAAGGCAGAGCAATAGTCAAAGGCAGAGCGTAGATCTTCCGAGGCCGAAGGCCGAAGAGTAGGCGAGGGCCGAAGGCCCGAGCCTCAGCCCATCTAAAATGCAGAGCAGTCTGATTGGAAGGATGAGTCCAATCGAGGGGAGGAGGTTGGCGAGGGCCGAAGGCCCGAACTTCAACCCATCTAAAAGGCAGAACAAAGAACGACCGAGGCCGAAGCTAAGGAGTTGGCGAGGGCCTAAGGCCCGAAGCCCGAAGTGACTCTAAGTGCAAGAAAGAGTCCAATCGAATGAAAGTAGGGCCGAAGGCCCTAAGTTACTCTAAGTGGAAGGATGAGTCCAAACGGAGGGAAGACGAGGGCCGAAGGCCCGAAGTGACTCTAAATGGAAGGAGGAGTCCACTCGAAGGGAAGACGAGTGCCGAAGGCCAGAAGTGACTCTAAGTGTAAAGATGAGTCCCAATGGGGGGAAGACGAGTTGGCGAGGGCCGAAGGCCCGAAGCAATGAAAAGGCAGAGGTAATCAAATATATTCCAAGCATTTAAACATTCTAGCAGCGCGCGAAGCGCGCCCCAAAGCCGTTAGGCTTTCGAAAACCCAGAACTAAATTGAAACCAAAGCAAAATTAAACTGCCATTGCATACGTAAGTTACCGCCATCGCATACGTAACCCACAGCTAGTTACTATATACCTATAATTCAGGGAGTGTTTTTTCTAAGAAAAAAAATAACGGCCGGCCGAAGGCCGGCACGGTTTTGGGAGTTTGACATTCGGGGGGTAGTTTGGGACGGGGCATCCAGGAAAATTATCGAGAAGTCAAAATAATTACCCCCTGGTACCTAAATCGCTTAAGCGCCGGGGCTATCTTTTCAATGGGGGGTTATAGCGAAAAATGTCTGCTGGGAGGATGATGTACGGCTATTAGTAGAGTTCGAATGCAAAAAACTCGAATTCGAAATTCGGACCTGAAGGGTACTTATGCCTTCCCAAATGATTATGCCCCCAGGCTGAAAAATTCTAACCCTTTAACGAATTGAGTTAGGGGTCTGAAACTTTTGCATTTAAGGGTTCTATTTGATGGGGCATTTGGGAAAAATACGAAAGTTAAGAAATAATTACCCCCTGGTACCTATATTGAATAGGTACCGGGGGTATCTCGGGACTGGGGGGAGATATCAAAAAACTTCCAACGGGAGGCACGCAAGTTGGAATAAGCTGATATATGTAGGAAAAAACCCGAAGTCTAAATCCCAACTTGAAGGGTAGATATGCCTGCGCAAAAATCCCAAAATCCCAGTTTCGCAAATTTCGAAATTTACGAAACTTATCGACAAATCACGTGTGATATGTCAAATGAAAGCTCTCGACGAGCTGAGTCTGGAAAAATTTAGTTTAAATTTTTCGGAATACTTTTGACCAAGTTACAGTAGCCCAAAGTTTCAAAGTGCCCCCATGTAAAATTGGGAAGGGTGGCTCCAATTCTCAAAAGTGAATTGAAACCCGTTTTCGATATCCTATGTTATAGAGCGTCACCTGACGGTCCGAAAAAGGTATAATATGTCGGGGGTCCGGTTGAGTCTCAAAAAGTTATGGCCAATGTTCGCAAATGTCGCGAAACTTTTTTTGACTCTAACGTCCCGGGGGAATTTTTTAAAATTTTTCTGACACCGGATTTGGACTCAGCGCATGTCAA